GGAGTAGAAAGAGAGAGAGAGTAAGTGAATTGAGGGCCCCAGTAAATTCTTTTATTCTTTAAGCCAACACAAATGAGGGATCGACTTCTCTAGAAAGGCAAACATTTCTCCTCCCTCTCTCCATCCCTTCCTCCCTCCCTCCTCACCACCCCCTCCTTGCCCCCTCACGAAGTGTTTGTGATTTCTACGTGCAGACGGCTTAGCTATTTATGAGACTAAGCGAGCACGCCATTTTGTTCCATTTTTACCTGAATGAATGTTTCACTCAGATTTGTGTATTTTTTTTCTAGTTTTATGCATTTACAATTGTAAAATGCATGCGATCCTGACTGTGTTTTCTTCAGCCTGTATGATCTGTTCCCTGTACCCCAAGTGGTAGCCGTAGACAAAAACCAGTCTTTGCACTATTTAAAGTGACAGTTTCCATATAAGTGGAGGTAGAGTTTGCAAAATTACGAAGAAGTAATTAGACGAGATATTGCCGTAGTCTTGAAGAGATAAGGTTGACATAGGATTAAAATAATGGAACGCCAAGGGGTGTAATCAGCAACAAAGAATGAGGTGGGCATTGTAGGTCAGTTAAAGGTGCACTAAATGGAGCATTAGGTCAAAGGTGCAAAGTGTCACGAAAGGAGTAAATTAGAAATAGACGGCAAGTCTGCTGGACTGCAATCATGCAGGCCGCCCACCCCGCACATACTCCGCAGTTGGCTGTACCTAATAACCCCTCCTGCTGCTGTCTTAAACAGCATTTGTCTATCTTTAACGTGGAGCGAAACTCATCGGTCTCCGCTTCCCCATTCCTAGCATTCCTAGACATGCCCGGTTGATTCGCTTTGGACATCTTTATTAAAGGTGACAAGATGGGGAGGGAAAATACAATGTTTAAGGAGGGGAGCCGCAGTCACTAGGTAAGGGAGAGGACAATCCGATCACGAGATTCGAGTTTCCTGATTGCCTCCTCCATGAAAGGAACATTAAAACAACATAAGCATTGCATTAATTCATCATTTTCTACCCTTTATCCGCATAATTCCCTCCATAACACCCTCCTATACTTCTCTGGCTCTCCGCCACTCCTCCCGTTGCCTATGGAAAAGTCCTCATCTCCCTTTCTCTCCATCTGTTTACCTCTTTACTTGCCTTAATCCTCCATACGTATACATATAACCTCTTATATGTACATATATGTTCATTTCTCTGCCCCATTTATTAATCACATATCATTGTCCCCTTTCCTAACCATCACCCCGCTCTTCTATTTCTTTTTATTTTTTCTCTTTTTGTAATATGACAGGGGTTTATCCCTCGGTGTTTGTGAAGCGCTACTTGCGTACTTTGAGTTGGCCCCCCTTGTACCTCGCTGGGTGGGCTGGCCATTTGGGCCATGCCAATAGCCCAGATACCTTCTCTGCGTAGGATATATATTCTGCCCGAGTATTGTGTCTTCTTTCGTCTTCAGGGAGTCTTGAGAGGCTACACCTTTCCTTTCTATCATTATGGGTATGCCTAACAACTTACTGCCTTCATTTTACTTTTATATCGGCCATCGACACAACTCTACATACCAATGCTTCATCACCTTACTTAGCAATAATCCCTTGCTTTCTCTGCATTTTAATTATCAAAAAAGTAATGCAGGTTGCTCTCTCTTCCTCTTTCTCTTCCTTTTCCTATTTTATCACTACCTAATCATTTTACTTACCTCAATTCTCTCCACTATTCCTCTTTCAAATAACTATTTGCCGGCTTAATCTGTATTTTTCACGCTATCTCTTTGCTTTTTTTGCTTTTCATTCCCAATACTAACCGATCTTTTGCATTTATTACTTTCCTTATTTATTTTCTTCCATGCATCTTCATTCTACTAGATAGATATCTTAATTCTATAACCTTGGCACCTTTTTGCTTAAGTTATTGCCTAATACTAACTTTTTTATTAATTTCTTTTTCTTACCTATTTTTAATGAATAAGTCAATTAATTTTGTTTGTTATGCTGAACAACCGTCGAGCGACTGCTCTTAATTGCCTTCGCGTCACGTTCGTTATTCATTTTACTCCTGGCCGTATTTTGGGTGCAGACGCTTGATGTGTTGAAGAAAGGACTAACTCCGTTCCCCAATCGGCTCTTCTCCACTACAATCACGTCTTCGATCTTCTTTAAACCACAGTTTGTCTGTTTCTCGTGGACCATTATTCCTCAAGCATGGATGACCATGATTTTCCAACAACTCCAACCGCCAATCTCGCCTTCTATATCGCTTCTCACATTGCTCAGGTAAGCCTATTTGTCTCTTATCACTTATTTTTATGCCGTTTGTATCAGTTTGCTTCTATATCATCTTTTTTTTCACTTCAACATTTCTTCCTCTTATTCATTTGTCGTTATCACCTCTTTTCTTCTCTTTACCTTCTTTTATTTACGTTTCATTATCTATGTATCTCTTATGCGCTGACGTCCTTTTCAGGTTAACAGCACTTTTGTTTCCAGTATACAGTGCTACTTATGTTTCACTTAGTATCAAGTATATCGATTACTACTGTTTATTCCTCCCCTTTTTCTCGTTTTCTTACATAAAACAGTACTAATTTCTTTCTTCCTTGCCTGCCTTTTGAAAAATGGCTAATTTCTTTTCATTACTGCCTTTTTCTCCTCCTTCTTCCTCTTATGCCTTTTATATCCGTTTTCATTTTATATCATATTTCTTTTATATCAAGACTTACTTCTGTATTTATTCATTTGTCGTTATCGCTTTCCCTTTTCTTCTCTTCACCTTCTTCTATTTGCATTTCAATGTTTGTCTTTGCTGCGTGCTGACGTCCCCTTCCCGTTAATAGCACTTCTTTTTCTATTATACGGTGCCATTTATGTTTCACTTAGTATCAAGTACACCGCCTACTACTTTTCTTTCCTTCTGTTTTTCTCATTTTCTTACATCAAACAGTACTGACTTCTTTATTTCTTGGGCTGCATGTTGAAGAAAGCCTAATTTCCCTTCGTTCGTGTCGTCTCCTTCTCCTCCTCTTCTTCGCAACAATTACGTTTCGCTTCCTTTTTAGACGACCACCACTTGTCTCTTTCCCATGGACGGACCATTAACCATTGCTGCGTCAGCATGGATGATGATGATTCTCCAACAATTCCTACCGCCAGTCTCGCCACTTATATCACTTCACACATTACTTAGGTAAGGTATATTTGTCATTTATCACTTCTTCCTATGCCTTTTATATCATTTTTCCTCTCATGTCTTCTTTCTTTCACATCATGATTTTTTTCCATATTTAGTCATTCATCGTTGTCGCTTTCTATCTCCTTCTCTTTACCTTCTTTTATTTCCTTTTTAACGCTTGTCCCTTTCACGTTTTACCACTTTCTTCTCTACCATACGGTGTCATTTATGTTTCATTTCATGTCAAGTACACCGTTACTGCCACTTACTTCTTCTCTTTTTCTCCTTTTTTTCACAAAACATTACTAACTTCTTCATTTGTTAGGCTGCAAACGTATTGCGTTTTGAAAAGAGACTCGTTTTGCCTAATAATCGCCTCCTCCTCTTCACGACAATTACGTTTCGCTTCTTTTTTCTATCAACTATCCCATGGACCATTATTCCATCAGCACGGATCATGTTTCTCCACCAAATACAACCGCCAATCCCCTCTTCTATCTGGCCTCGCATAGCCGGCTTAGGTAGGGAATATTTGTCTCTTATCACTTCTTATGCCTTTCATACCATTTTCCTCTCGTGTCTTCAGTTTTCTTTCACACCACTCACTAATATTCATTTGTCCTTATCCTTTTCTGCTTATTTCTCTTTATCTTCTTTTACTTTTACTTCCATGTTCATCTCTATTCCTTGCGCTGGCATCCCTTCCACGTTAATACTACGTTTTTCTCTACTATACGATGTGCCATTTGTGTTTCACTTCATGTCAATCTAGTTCAGCGATCATTTCGCGTTTGCCTTTCGTTTTCCTCTTTTTCTAACACATAGCATTACTAACTTCTACATTTGTTAGGCTGCAAATGTATTGTGTGTTGAAAAAAGACCAATTTCGTTTCATAACCGCCTGCCTTTACCTACTGTTCTTCATGACAGTTTCGTTTCGCTTCTTTTTTAGATGACCACCACTTGTCTGGGTCGACCGTTAACCATTATTATTCCATCA